AGCATCATCATAACAACATCCCCTCCTCGATCTCTTTTGTAGTGTTGTATTTCATAATACAAGCACGATATTTACTGATGGAAATGACATGGTTTGTGGAGGTATCATATTTTCATTTATTATTATTAAATACAAAAAAATGTCTTATGTCATTATCAGTCTTTTAGGCTTTGTTATTTTTATAAATTTAACAGCTTGGCGGTTGAAGTTAATGATTACTGACAAGTTAGTATACTTTGTTGGATTATTTGATACGTTTGATAGAAGTTTCCTTTAAGGCTTTAATGGATGTTGTCTTTATTTGCAGTGTTGAATCTTGATCCGGTTTAATATTTCCCGGCCCATGGAAGGTTTAGAACCTAGGAGTGGTTTCCTTGGAAAAAGATACGAAAAAAGAGAAGAAATGAGATGTCTATTAAGGGTGGTTGTATGTTCTGGTGTAGAAATATGAATAAAGGGCAAATTGGTCACTTTTTTGTATATGTTGCAAGTTATAACTTTGCTCAAGGTTTTATGGTTCTGGGTTGGTTTCGCTGGAAAAAGAAAGACAACAGTAGAAGGAATAAGGAATGAGGGAAAAATTAAAGGGCGATTTCGTCTTTACCTGTTACTCTTTTACTATTTTCATGTAGAGCAAAATTAGTTGTTTTGTTCGAATTAGTAAAAGTAAGAGAATTGAAGGGTATTGACTGTCTTTTTTATTATAAATTCAATAAGGAAAGAACTTTGGATGAAGGTTATGATTGATGTAGTTCAAATAAAGGCTTTATGTTGGGAGTCATTATATAGGGGTAAAACTCAAAAGGAAGATTAAATTTGATGTTTCTAAGCTGAATTGTACTTTATCCATGTTTGATTTAATTTCTAATTGGAAAATGAGGAAATTAGATTGGAAAGATAAAATTAGATGGTGGTTTTTTATGATCTGTACCGATCAATGATGGGTACCATGTGTTTACCAAGAGCTGGTTTTGGAGAAATAAGTAACGAAAACATTGGAAGGTTGAAAGCCTTTTTTTCATTTGTTATACGAAGTTGCGGTGGTGTTTTTGGAGATGACAAAATCAATGTTTACTATGGCAAGAAGCTTATATTGAATCAACGTGATCATCTTCAAAATTATAATAAAAAACGAATTGACGACTTTTATTCGACTCAAATCATAAATTTTTAGTTGGTTGGTTTTATGTTTTTTTCCATAAAAAATATACAATAAAATCCAAAAGGGTTCAAATCTCGAAAATAATTTGTCTAACTTTAATTCTTCGAAATTCTTCACATATTCGTTACTTTAATTTTTATTATCATGTCTAAATGTCAATCGGGTTATATAAGTAATATTTCTTATTAAAAAAGACATTTAGTCATTGTCATCCAAAATTTTCAAAATTTCAAATATTATATCAAACTTTAAAATTTAAAATAAAAAAAATAATTTCTTAGGATATATAAAATTTTGAATATAGTATTTATATTCTAAAAAAATAAGTAAATAAAAATAAAAAACTATCATATATATTAGTTTTGTTAGAATATAGATAATATTAATAAGTTCTAATAAAATTATGGATCTCCACCTAGGTGCCGGTTATTCATTTGATCTTGACCGCTTAGACCGATTAAGTGACTCCTTCTTGACGTCGTTTTATCAGTTACTCATCTCTTGTGACAAAGTAACAAAAATCATAATAATACAATTATGGATCTCCATTATGTTCAATTATATAAAAACAAACAATGTACATTTATTTCCTTTTTTAATCTAACTAATGTGAGGTCGTTTGGTTTATTCTAATACCGTTATAGGGAGCAATAATACACCTATTTTTACCGCATATTAGTGGCCCTATATGTTTTGAAGATTTCTATACCGTCAACAACGTAAAACACCCAACTATTTGTGAAAAAAAAACTAATTGTCTTTAGGAACTAATTTATGAAAAACTATTTGCACCCGTCGCTTGGCGCGGGTAAACGGCTAGTATATATATATATATATATATATATATATATATATATATATATATTCCTTATCCTTATCATATCCTAATAAATAAGTACTTTTATTGACACGTGTCATTCTCTAAGGCTCCTTCAATCGATTTTTCCCGCTCATACTTTTACAAACTGATATACCTATATTGCCCTTTTACTCATTAAACTGCGTTAAATTCAGCCTTGATTTGGTTCTGATTTTCTGCAATCCTTTTTAAATGGAGAATGCATTCTTATCGGTTCTACAGCTTCTATATGTTCATTGGTACCCCTGAGTTACAGTCTATCTACCCCGATTTCGCTTTCTTGCTTTTGGAAACCGAATCAATTTTTAAAATTGACAAATCCTTTTATCAAAAAATGTTCTTCTAAAGATGCAAAACCCGTCAAAAGCGAAGCAGTCAACGACAACAATGACAAAATCGTTTCTCAAAATCCACCTTGCATTGCAAATCGTTTTCTCAAAATCCATGTTAAGTGTTCATCAATCCTCATTCCATATACATCTATTTAATGAATTTGTTTATTGTGAATATAAAGTAAAAAGCGTGTGTAGCAAATTGAAAACTCCTCTCGCTTTAGACATCATCGCTATATAGTTTTCAAGGTATGTATTGCCTTATTATTCAATCTTATTTGTCTATTAAATCCCAATGTCACTGTAGTTTATTTGTATATAATTGATTCTTTCAATAAGTATTTAACTTTTGTATGCACATAAAGTGTTCGATGAAATGCACACATAAATTTTTTATTTTTTATTTTTTTTCTTTTTTAAAGTTAAGGGAAGCAAGTATTCCACTCCATAAAGGAATCTATATTCATGTATTAATCTTGATTGCAATTATGATATCTTGGCTTGATAATGTTTGTCATTAGGTTCAATGTGTGTATATCTATGTGTACAGTTGTGTGTGCTTGTGGATGTATGTTTGTGCTTTGGTAACTTCTTTCTACACCTAATCATACAAATTTATATTTATTTCATTTATACTATGACTGATATGTTAGGAATCTCTATTATTTGTGCCCCTAGATGTTTCTGTTTATACATGAGGAAGAAGAGTACGTTATTGTTGGTTTTGGTTGCAGGCCTCCGCAAGACAAGTAACAAGAGTAGTCTGGTACTTCCAAAATGTTCCTTATTATGACACTTTACTTCGGAAAACTATTCATATAACACTATACTTTTGATTTTTATCTTATTAGGACATTATACATTGATTGTTAAACATAAAATATGTTTCTTAGTAAGCTCCAGTATTAGGTTCTTAATTTCTTATGTTGGATATATATATATATATATATATATATATATATATATATATATATATATATATATATATATATATATATTTCTTTTAAATTTTGCTCGACTTTTGTTTTGTAGTACAGGGTAACATCTAAGGGCTCAAATAATTAGAATGATGGAAAGCACTCTCAAGCCGCATCTAATATGACCCCAATTGAAGCTCAAGGACGATTTTGAAACGGTTGAAGAAGATCAGGTTAGTGGTCATTTTCAAATTTTGTCAAATTTCAACAACCAAGACTACTGCTTGTAGGGGAAAGACTATTGATGTGTCCAAGAAGCAATAAGTTTATATTTGTTTTTGTGAACACCTTAAAATTGTTATTTGCATCAGGTTTAGAAAATTATGGCCAAGTTATTTTATGGTTGTACTTTTTCGGATGTAGAAAAAAAAAATTTTACATTAAAAAGTGATGTAGCTTTTGCTTTATGGAGCCATATGGGTATTGTGGAAAGAACAATTCATTATAGACTTCACTCTTTATAACTCTATTTTTATGATTTTAGGTACCAAAGTAAAAGGGATAAAGGTAGAGAGGCCAACTACCAACTATAAATTTTATAAGCTTAGATATGAGTAAATTAACAAGTCAAAATATGATATTATTAATGTTTGACCTGCCCTATTGTTCTTACTAAACTTTATGAATAAAGGATATGTAAATATAATTATAAAGGCTATATAGTTTGGTTGTATAAAAAAAAGAGAATAATCCGGTTAATATTTCTTTTTGCCAAATTATTTAACTTAGTTATGAATATGTTTAATGCTTATAGTGAAAATTACTATTCAAGAATGAACTTTGTGTATTGTTGCGTACTTCTCGATGGAAAAAAAATCTAACCACATTTATATTAAAAACTTTGTGGTTCAAGTGTGTAGTACACAATCATAAACTAACAAAACATTATATTACCATACTATTTAATTTTAAGCAAAACAATGTTGTTTCGTGGTTGATTATCTATGTTTTTTTCCTCAATTTTCTCAACTTTGTATTTTATTATAATACAACATAATCATTTTATTATTAATCTAGACAAAACGAACATGGCTCATATCTTCAAAACATATTTCAAAATTAATTTAAATTAACAATTATAACTGTTTGCAAATGTCTTATTAATTATAATGTCTACTGGTGGTTCGAATTTATATTGCATTATACAAAATCATGATTTTATCAAATATTTACGGATACAAAGTGTCGATCGGATATTCCAACCAGTGTATATATTAAATCTAACTAATTATAAAAAAACTTAAACACAAAACATCTACTTTTGTATTTTATTATAATACAACATAATCATTTTATTATTAATCTAGACAAAACGAACATGGCTCATATCTTCAAAACATATTTCAAAATTAATTTAAATTAACAATTATAACTGTTTGCAAATGTCTTATTAATTATAATGTCTACTGGTGGTTCGAATTTATATTGCATTATACAAAATCATGATTTTATCAAATATTTACGGATACAAAGTGTCGATCGGATATTCCAACCAGTGTATATATTAAATCTAACTAATTATAAAAAAACTTAAACACAAAACATCTACTTTTGTAAATTAATAAAATTTTACAAATAATTGATTAGTCATTACGATTTAAAATTATCGTTAGTGTTTTCTATTTTTTACCCGTGGTTTCCACGGGTATTAACCTAGTATATATAATAAAGAGCCACTGTGAACGCATAACGCATTGGGATTTGATTTCAACAAAAGACAGGTAGCATAAATAGGATTTGAGTTTCCACATAAACATTAAAACATATCCTAAAAGAAAAGTCAAGTCAGAAAATAAGATATACCAGATTTACCCTTACCATTACCATCACCAACCACCACCCCCAGAGCTCTTCTTACCCCATCCACTGTTGTTATCTGCATCCTTGTTGGCGTCACCTGAGCCAGATGCACTGTTATTCTTCGAACCCCAACCACCACCACCAGCACTGCCGCCACCGCCACTTGTACCACCACCTCCAGACCATCCACCACGGCCACCACCACCAGACCATCCACCACTTGCACCACGGCCACCGCCACCACCAGACCATCCACCACTTTCACCGCCGTCACTGCCGCCACTTGCACCACCACCTCCAGACCATCCACCACCACCATCACCACGGCCGCCACCACCAGACCATCCACCACGGCCACCACCAGACCATCCACCACTTGCGCCACGGCCACCGCGACCACCAGACCATCCACCACTTTCACCGCCATCACTGCCGCCACTTGCACCACCACCTCCAGACCATCCACCACGGCCTCCACCGCCACCACCACGGCCGCCACCACCACCACCAGACCATCCACCACTTGCACCACGGCCACCGCCACCACCAGACCATCCACCACTTTCACCATCATCACTGCCACCACTTGCACCACCACCGCCAGACCATCCGCCAATTGCACCACCACCAGTACTTTTCTTGCTGCCACCCCACCCAGTGCCATCTGCATCCTTGTTGCCATCACCTGAACCAAAAGAACCACTATTCTTCAGCCCCCAACTGCCACCACCACCGCCACTTGCACCTCCACAAGACCATCCACCACTTGCACCACCACCAGTATTTTTCTTGCTGCCACCCCACCCAGTACTATCTGCATCCTTGTCGGCACCGCCTAAACCAGAAGTACCATTATCCTTCTGTCCCCAACTGCCGCCACCGCCACCGGACCATCCACCACCGGTACTTTTCTTTCCGCCACCCCACCCTGTATTATCTGCATCCTTGTTGGCATCGCCTGAACCAGAAGCACCACTATTCTTCTGTCCCCAACTGCTGCCACCGCCACCTGCACCCCCACCACCGGACCAACCACCACTTGCATCACCACCAGCACTTTTCTTGCCTCCACCCCACCCAGTACTATCTGCATCCTTGTTGGCACCGCCTGAACCAGAAGCACCACTATTCTTCTGTCCCCAACTACCGCCACCGCCACCGCCACTTGCACCCCCACTACCACCAGACCATCCGCCACCTGCATCACCACCAGTACTTTTCTTACTGCCACCCCACCCACCGCTATCAGCTTCCTTGTTTGAATCATCAGCGCCACTATTCTTCTTCCCCCAACTTCCACCACCACCGCCACCAGACCATCCACCACCATCAGTACTTTTCTTAGTGCCACCCCACCCACCACTATCTGCATCCTTGTTGGCATCTCCCGAACCAGAATCGTTACTTTTCTGTCCCCAACCACCACCACCACCAGACCATCCACCACTATCTCCTGCCTGAGTACTTTTCTTGCTGCCACCCCACCCACTATCATCTGCATCCTTGTTGGCATCACCTGAATCAGAAGCCTTTTGTCCCCAACTGCCACCACCACTTGCACCACCACCCCAGCTACTCCCGCCACCTCCACCACCACCACCACCCCAACTGCTGCCACCACCATCTCCATAACCTGAATCCTGGTTTTCATTCTCAGAATCATTTCCCCTGCCACGTCCACGCCCTCTTCCCCGTCCCCTACCTCTTCCTCCTCTTCCCCGGCCACGACCACCACCACCACCATCACCATCACCATCACCGCCCCAACCAGCAGAATCCCCAGGACGTTCACGGGGATCATCAATATGTTGTTGAAAATATGCTACCAACCGATCAACTTCCTCAAACATATTCTTCCGGAATCTAAACCCTTTTGGATACAATCCAATATACTCATGATGCGCATTCGAAGTCCTTATGTATGTCAGAATGAATGTTCCCGGGTGTTCATGAGAAACACCAAAAGAATAAACAATTCTTGAAGGGTGCTCCGACTTTTCCTTCCTCAATATCTCATCTACTTCAGCTTTTGTCCCATGCTTAAACATTCGGTAGCCTAACATTTTCTTCAAATGTCCTGCCAAGGGTTCCGCATATCCCGCAATTACCTATCAATCAATCAAAATTCAAAACAATACAATATATATTATATAAGAAACTGCAACCTACTTTCATTGATTTTTTTTATAGCAAAACAAAAAACTGACCGACCTCATCAAGGTTAGCAAACACATCCTCTCCTATTTTAAGTGTTTTCCCAAGACGAAGCAAGCTTGTAATGTCCTTATGCTCTTTTCCACCTTCTAGAATGTCCTTGTGAGCATACACCCCGTTGTAGACTTTGAGTGTTAACGTTAAATATGAGGCTCCACGAGAGCTAGGGCGGAAAACACTCTCACCGGCTTCTTTCTCCGCCAGTAACTGAGTAAGTAAATTAATATTTAATACTTAATCAATCAACAAAAAAAATTATTATTTAATTTAATAATAAGTACCTCTATGGCTTCATCTATAGTAACATTCTTGAAGCGAGGATGAACAATCATTCTTGGCTTGAAAAGCTTCTTTGTTATCTCCTTAACTTTACTACTACTACTACTCGGAGTCGGAGGCTTTTCTGCTGAACTGTCGCGAACTTCATTATAATACGGATCCACGGGTTTGTCATTTTGTGACATCCAATTACTCCTCATAACATTTTCCTTACAACTAAGGTAAACCTGATACCTATCTTTCACAACTGACTTTATCTTGCAAGTCAAAACATCACCTTCCTTTAACTTATCAGTCAACTCTTCATCATTTAAATCATCACTATAATCTTCCTTGTTGAGCATACCACTCAGCCCGGACTCAAGACTACATATCGCCCTCTGAGGTAGCACACGCCGGACCGTAGCCCGCACGATTCTTCCTTCCGAAAGCGTGCTCTCCGTCTCCCCGGAAATCATCAAGAACTCCTCATCCTGACTCGGTTCTACATACTCTCTTCGCCAATCTTGAAACCCGTTTATCAGTTCTTGTTTTATAAGGTTAAAAGTCTCTTTTTTATCTTCCCGTTTCTTGGATTTGGCATATGAGTCGATGTCAAGACTCTTCAATAGGTCTGGATTTTCTCTCACGTGCTCCATTGCTGTCTCGATGACATCATCATCATCATCATCATTGTCATCATTCACAGCTACATCATCTTGGGCATCTGCACGATAAATCTCTTTAGCCAATTCCTCAGCTAAATTATATGATTCCGGGTGAATCCTTGTATCGTCTAGTAAATCAAACGATTGGCTACTGCTGGTGGCATTCCCACTTCTTTTTACACGTAAGAAACCAACCGAATTTATAAACACTTTTCTGCCAAGACCATGGGTCAACAGATCCTTCCGGGTGCATATCGAACCCGACCGAATTAAAGATCTTTGCAAAAGAAACGGCCTTTGTGGGTCCCAGCCCGGATATGAACTGTAGAGGAGCAAACAACCATTCGTGGGTTATGGCCAAATTTTCCACCCCAACTTGGTTGGTTGCATCTACCATGATTTGTTCAACTATGCTGTACTTCTCATCTGAAGTCATAAAGCTCTCTAAAGGACTAAGTTTCCATGATAATATCTCTTTCCCGGGCCCACAAAGAGTTGCAGCCATTGTTAACGGGTTTTGAAGGTATCGTCCAAGTGCAATACCACGCTTCACAATGCCTGAAAAAGATGAATGAATTCAAGTTAAGGGCGTTTTTGGAAGGAATGAAATATGTAAAGAAATCGACAAGATTCAATCAAAGTAACTTGCCAGATTGAGACGGAAACTGCTCAGATGATATATTTGAATTTTCATACAAACGGGGTAGAGACTCGTCGCCATACACAACGCTCAGTCCATCTTCTGAACTATCTTCTAGCGCCTTCTGAATTATCTGTGATCATAAATAATATATTCAGATATATACAAACAAACCAATGATTGTTGCAGCATACTGTAAAAATTAAAACACAATCACCTCGGTAATATCCTCTTTCAGCCTGCTGCAAGGCACATTCACAGCTCCCAAAACAACAACATCAGGTTTGTGATCCATCATGAACTTCACAATCCGTTGTTGATCGTTTTTCTTCCTTTGTTGATCATTCACATTTTGACCACGGATACTAAGAGATCCAGCAGATAAAACATCAACAATTTCACCAAATGAATCCAACATCACAAAAGTGGTTGCAGGCCTTCCGGGACCCCAGCAGCATGCCATGACTCTCGGTGGAACTTTTGATATATTCCCATCTTGTCCCTTCTTCTGATATGGCCCCACCGAGACTTTCTTCCATAATATCCTTCCATACTCCATTAACAACCAGCTTTTTGCTCTACTTCTCAATAAAGATCTTGCTTCCTTCTCCATGGAAGGTAGAAGAAAACCATCAAAAGCATCTTTGATTATTTGTTTCCTTTGTTCATTCCATAACTGTGTGTATTTGCTCACACCACCACTAACATAATACTCCTGAGCATCACTTATTAATTTATCGTGTGAAGATGCGGGAAGCTTGATTGAAACTTGAATCAGGTTGTCCTCTTCGGCTTTTTGAATAAGAAGCCACTGTGCATCATCGAATTTTGTCAGAGGTTTTTCTTTTAACCACTTAATCCCTGCAAACTGATGATGGGAATCTATGGTCGCCTTCCCTTCAGCAGTGGGACTTGTTGATATTGTTACATTTTCCATAAATACCCCCCGAACATGTTTCCTGACAAATGGCTCACAGCTAATCTCAAGTGCAGCCATGTGTCTAGCTCCTCTGAGCACAGCTTGTGGATTCTCAAATGTTTGACATGCAAACTTTGATGCCACGTCATCTGGTGTTTCGTCAACATCCTCAAGTTCATCCATTCTCATTTGTTCAAGAGAAATCAATAATCCAAATTCTTCAGAACTATAGCCGATTTTGCAAGCAACTTCACGCAATCCAGCTTCACTGCAAATCCCATATTGTGATTTTCTTCTTGGTCTCTTGAATTCTCCTTCATCTACAACATCACCTGGCGGGAAGTGGAGGTTGAACTTTGAGTCCACGTCATCAATTTCCCTTTCAGTTTCTGCTACATTAAGTGACTTGATAATCGACTCAAAAAACTTTTGATCTAAATGAAGGCGTGTTTCATCGTATATGTTTCGGTCTTCATCAAATCGCTTGTTGTAGTACATTTGTAAAGCACCTTTTCGTTTTTGAAATAGCAACCACTTTCTGTCAAGATCCATGATAGCCCAAACCACCATGTGCCACCTCAGCGTGGGTTTATCATCAGAGAAATCTTGATTCTCTTCATCAGCTACTTGTATATCCTTAAAAAGACTAGGACACTCCTCCTTTCTATACATAGCAATAAAAGGAACCTGATACAAGAGGAAATAATTAAAAGAAACAAACTTCACAGATCCCCACAAAAAACACAGATAACATGTAACACTTACATCTAATTTCTGAACATGCACAAGCTCCAAAAACCTTTTAACATCGTCTTTAAGTATAGGCAACTCATTTCCTTCTTCAGTTGTTGTACTTGTATTACCTCCTTTGTGAAACCAAGGTACCATGCGCATTTTGAATTGATTAAGAATCCAGATGCTCTCCCTGTCTATGCTCATATCATGTGGTGGTAGAGGACCAGTGGTTTCCTCAGAAATCTACAACAACAAAAAAAACTTGGAAAAATATGGAGCCCTCGACTTTATCTCCAAAAACCAAATGGGCACATTGGGAAAGTAGAAAAGACTTGTTAGCATCAAACCTGCATTCTTTCTGGAATATCTGTCTCCCTGATATGCTCATCCTTCTTGGTCATGTACTTCTCTGGAACAAGAATTGGTTCAAATTCATCTTCAACCTTTTTTTCCTTCGATTCATTGGGTTCACTATATTTGCTAACATTTTCTGGCCCCAACTTGTAGATGTCATCAAGACCACCAAATATGTCATTAACACTCTGCCTTGAGGAGTGTCCTGCAGACTTCTTTGATTTTTTCTTGTTAGCCTTGACACTCCTGCATTAGGGTTTAGGGTTTAGGGAAATCATGTGGGAAAGAAATCACACAGAGAAAACATCCACAATACTACTAAGCAGCAAAAGCCACACCTCGATGGAGCAGCAGGTTCAGTTTTTTCGACTTCTTCAACAATGAAATCGGCCATTTCATCCTCACTGAGCAAAGCATCCTTCCCCTCATCCAGCAGATCTTCAGAGCTATCACCTACAAATAGACTAGAAATTGTGGGCAATTTGGAAATATCTCAAAAAAAAAGCAATCTATTTCATTGCAATCAAACAATAAGCTTTGGTGTATTTAAAATCTACCATCATCATCCCCAAATAAAGTACGTGTTAGCTTCTCCTTAGCCATTCCACTTCTGTCATATTCTTCCTTACCAAAAACCGCTGATGGTCCTTCATCACCATCAACCCTTGCTTTCTTCAGCCGCTTGAAGTTTTCACTTTCCTAACAGATTCAAAAGCATAAAAAAGACAAAGAATGAGAGAAAGTGTTAAAACATGACTTAAAGTCTTAAATTATGAAGTGAAGAAGCAAGAGACTTACAAGTTTTGGGCGATGATAGCCAGGGATGTTTTCTTGAAGGAGCTCATAGTCATCTTCATCCAGAACATAAGTCTTGTTTGATTCTCTTCAAAATTGGCAACACAGGTGTCAGAAAGGTAGTAATCAGTAATGCATCAACAATTAACGGTAGAAGGTAAAAATATTTACCTCTTTTTCTTCCTCTTCTTTTGCTTAGCATCATCACTGTCCTCTCCGACCTCATCTTCTTCAAGATCATCCACTAAGAAACCGTCATTCTCATACTGGTCTGGTGAAGACAAGAAATACAAATCATATCAGAACATGAAGCTGAATATGAATGTAAATAGAGTAAAGAGACATCTGTTACAGATTGTGTTAATAAACATAAAGTGATCAAGATAAGAAATTATAATTTTGCATGCATATAAGTGGTAGCAAAAGATCTAGGGTAAACAAGTAATGCTCTACCAAAACAAAATACACCGGTACACAGACGGAACAAGTACGCGGTAAAGAAACGTCAGACAATCAGAACCATGAAAACAAACAAATACTCAAAATCATGCAAAAAAATCCATACCATCGTCTTCATCGTCAACGTCTTCAGGCTCTATCCTCCGCTCGACTTCAACTTCTATCACATCGATACACATAAATATGCATGCACATAAGTAGGAGAGCAAAATGAAAGAAAAATACTCGGTAAATGAAAATATAAATCAGATGAGGTCACCTTGTTTTGACA